TGTTAAAAATCTCAAATCTCTAAGTCTAAACTTTGTTGTATATGAAATGTTTTTATCATATTTGATTCCCATTTATTGTGCATCTGATCCCTGTCGATGGATAAAATATAAAATTATGATCAAAATAAATAACTCCTACTAATATATGTGATTTGAGGGTCATATATAATTACTTCAAATTACTGCTTATCATTGCAAGCCAATGAATGAAACGTCTCCCTAGCGACAAAGATTTGATATACAATTGGAAACTAAACGATCAAAAACCTGAAAATGTATGAAATAGGCAAAGGCGAACATGAGAAGCAGCTGTGATATTTCCATAAAAAGGAACATTTAGCACGACCTAAACACTAAAGAATATACAGCTTGGTGACTTTAAAACTGAAAGAAACTGAATATGTGACCAAGACTAACGATAGGACATTGTTTTAACTTTTTTTTTTTTTTTTTTTTTATGGGCCAAAAAAATTTTTTTAAATATTAGAAAACCCTGATCATGAATTTTTAAAATGTCAAAATCATCAAAACAGCAGAAAAGGAAAAAAAATCTGGCTGGTGGCTGTGGATTCATAAAAACTGACGCTAGACAAAGAACGCAGATGTCATTAGTTTTACGGTGTCTAAAATATAAAGTATAATCATTTCAGAATGTTGTAAAAAGATATATATATTAATACAGAATTACATGATTGTGTGTTGAAGGTTTGGCCATCAACGGGCCCCTCTCTGCTCAGACTGAGCTGCTTTTTGCTTTAAATCACATCTCACTGATTCCGAAACGGTCTTACAGATTACAGATCAAACCAGAGTTAAATTTGTGACTACTTCCCCAAGATGGATCAGAAGTATAAAAACCAGAGTGGCTTTCGGGACAAGATTCAAACTGCTTCAATGCAGTACTGATTGCAGGATACAATCCTAGCACAGGCACATAGGACTGTGAAGCAGCAGTGCATCACCAACACCCTACAATCCAAGTTGAAGGTCTGCAAAATGTGCTCACAACAAAGAATACTCCACATAGCTTGATTAGTTACTAAAGTACAACCTTAAGAATGAATGTATCAGAAATTATACACTTAAAGCCAACTTCAAAATTAGTTTCTAAATCAAGATATTTTGGCGTACAAGTGACAATATATTTGTTGTAGACTGTGACATGCTAAGGGTGTGTTTAAAAAAAACAACAACTACTCCTTCAAGCATATACAGCATGAAGGAGACCCCACCAGAAAGTCACTTTATTGCTACGTACAAACAACTTTCTATGAAACTGCATGCATGCACAGAATTGCATTATTATTCTGCTGAATAATAAACAGGGGGGGGGGGGGCATCAAAAACCTTTTTTTTAAAAGTTGGGAAAAATGAACACCAAAAAGTAGTTTTATTTTTCAGTTTCCTCAATTGTACAGAACAAAAAAAAAAGTTCCACACTCACCCTGGCAAGTCTGTGTTTGGGTTCATTCTTCTTGGCATAGTCTAAAGAGTCGTAGACCATAGCAAAGCCTGTTGTCTTGCCACCGCCAAACTGAGTCCTGAAGCCAAAGACAAATACAACATCGGGGGTGGTCTTGTACATCTTGGCAAGCTTGTCCCTGATTTCAGTCTTTGGGACCGTGGCCTTGCCAGGATGGAGGACATCAACAACCTATAAAGACGTTAGAGCACTTTGTAAACATCTTTGTTTGACAGACAAACTACAAAGATGGTGGCAGAACATGTGAAAACTTACCATCTGCTTCCTCTGAAGCAGTCGGTTAGTCATAAACTTGCGGGTCCTGACTGTTACTGTGTCGTTCTGAAAATGAGGACAAAGATTAACTACACAAGATGCAGGTGTTGGCTGAAAGGTTTACTGTTGAGGGACAGCTCACGTATTTTGATGCAAGTTTCTGAGGAAAGTGTTCATAATAACTCAAGTACCTGTAGTGGTAATATGTTATATGCATGTGAAAACCTACCTTACCTTTCAGGTAAACAGACTGCAATTTCAAACAAGCTAACTGAAACTGTTCATATCTATGGGATATATTGCTAAGCATGCAACTCCTCCAGGCATTAGTTGAAACGTCATAAAGAGACATTTATATCTGATTATCTCCGTTTCTAAGGCAAATATCTGAATTCGTTTTAACCTAAATTTGCTTGATTTTTTCTGTTTCTAGTCCCCGATTGTGGCAGCTGTGTGCATTTTACTGTCTACTCACACATGGGCCGCGTTATTAGCATATTTAGGGAGTGCATGCTAATGTTATCGACATTAGGCTAGCAGATTTGTGTTTTACCAGTTGAAAACGGCACAAATCACGAAAACGTTAGTTGACTATTTCTAATCATAAATGCGAACAAAGAAAAGTAAATTATTGAAACTCATTTAAAGCAGTGAAGACGGGCGTGTGTATCAGTCGGACAGGTATCAGGCTAAATTGTGAAATGTACTGTATAACTTAGTCAAAATTTGTTATTGTTGATTAATATTGCCAGGATTAAAAAAAGGAAAAACAACGTATCAGTTAATATGTGGTACGAGTGTGTTGGTGCACGGATGGCCTCGATATTGAACGGATTTTAGTTGTATTTTTTCCCCGACACTCACCATTTTGACGCCGGCCTCGCTCAGGGACGTAAAAGAGGAAGAAGGACCAGCGGCAGCCCGGATTATTGCCTGCACAAAATGACAAGGGAGTGTAGTGGTAGTGCCTGATGTAAAACACGCATTATAAACATATCTTCTGTACATACCTAGCCTAAATATTAGTTAAGCATTTTCGTACTAAGTTGAATTGTCCGTGATTCCTCCATGACCTTACTTAGTGGGCAAATAAGTTAAATGGGAAGATAAATTGTATACTTTTTATAATACCCATTATTCTAAAATTTCAAGTAAGGTTAAAAAAAATCTGAACTTAAATCATTGCTTTATTTTAAAAGGTTTTTAAAAGACTTTAAGGAACACTTTTAATAAAGCACTCAACTAATAAACAAAAAACAGCAAGCAGTGATCATTTAGAAATTTAAAAAAAGTTTATTAGATTACCTTGGGTAAACTAGATTATTCTCATTGTTTGAATCCACTTCAGCTTGATTAAAACACTGAGTATAAACCTTTAGTTTCATTTAAATTATTAATTTAATAATGCCTCTTATGTCAGTTACTAGAACCTGCAAATATATTTAACTAAGGTGCAAGTAAAAAATTCACTTCACAATATCATGAATAATAAATGAATGTCAAAATCAGTGGGAAGAAATGAGACAGGAGGCTGGTCATACCAAAGTCAAAGCAATGTAGTAACTAAGGCCATCCGCTCTGAAATTTGAATACTTCTTTACTGTCAGTTGAAAGCTAAAATTTGTTCTGCAATACAGAACTGTTCATTACAGCTACACAAACAGAGCCAAACTGAAGAAATTACACTGTAAGATTAGCAGCAGATAGCATAACTCTGGGTAGTCGTCAGTTTCAGAAATGAGTAGTGCACAACAGCATTTATCAGCTTACCCCTATTAAGCCCTACATTTTTCAACCTGATGGTAATAAACTGTATTCATGATAGATCATCATGGTCAGTGTTGCAAAATCTGCCACCTTTGCAATTAAGTTGAATAAAATAAAAAAAAAAGACAAGGATACAAAATCTCTTACAGAATTTTATTGATCTTGCAGCAACAGTGTCCACTGGCATTGGAGTTTCATTTGAAATAAAAGTTATTTTAAATCCAAACAGAAGGTTACAGTAAGTTTGTGTCCAATCTCTTTCGAAGCATATTGTTTAACCCTCATCAAATCAAATGGATTGGAAATAAATCTGCCACCTGGATTACGATACCTTAATATAAAGACTTGTCGGCCATAAGGTGCGATGCAAACATAATTTTAAGCAACTCGTGGATGAACTTTTCACCAGACTTTGCCAAATGTAATTACAAAGCTAAAAGAAATGAAAAATAATATTCGACAAACATCAGTCAGTGGCTCCTGTCAAACGGAGAAAGAAAACTGAATGGAAAACATGATTACTTGTTTGCCAAGTAGCAGAGAGAACTTTGGAGTAAAACAAATGAACTAAACACTAGATTAAAATGAGTGAGTGGCACTTTTACCATGTTGTCACGTAAAACGTCAGTCTCACATGCGCGATCACGCTTCCAAACCTTATACCAATCCGAGTAAGAAAATCATCAAGAAAATAAAAATACCTTTTACTCACTGACCAAGCAAAATATAACCTGTTTTAACGCTACTGTGAAAAAATAAACATCTGTCAGAAAATACAAATAAATGGCAAGGAAACTAGTCACTGCATTTCATGTTAAATAAGGCATGTGCAGGCAGGATGCATGGAAATAAGAATATTAATGTCAGATCAGTTTATGGAGAGCATCTATCAAGCCCAATGCACACACGGTTATCCGTTTCCTTGACATGAAATCTAAAAGGCCTGGACAGAGCGAACGCCCTGGCAAAGCCTTAATACTAAAATTGTATTCAAATATAATAAATGTTTAAAAAACATTTAAATTTATTCAAGTTTTAAAATGGATTTTGTTGTATCCCATGCAAAAATGTATATAGGGATATTAACCACCCCGACGTCTGGATATTTAAAAACACCGGTCATGTTCGTCCATACACCGCCTCCTCCTTAGGCTTATTAGCTGTTATAACAAATATGAGAAAAGGGTGGGGTTCATCTTTGCCGACTTAAGTTACTTGATATTGTTGTACTTTGCTGAAATTAATTTCAAGAAATATTTTAAGTCGCTTACATCTGTGCTTCATTTGATATTCAATTATCCGATGATTTATATCTGCTCAATTTTGCCCTAAATTTGTTTTTAAGCATTTTTTTCCTGGAGTCTTACAAATGAAATATTGCAGCAAAATGTTGGGAAATTTGGGATTAAATGCTTGGAATGGTGTTAGGTCCTTTCCTAATAGAAAAACAAGAATTATACAGCATTTCATCAGGTACCATTACTGGAATCAAAGTGGTCCAAGTGGTTATGGATCCTGGAGTTATTGGAGTAGTTTAAAAAAAAAAACAACAACAACAAACAGAAAACCAGAGGTCTTTAAAAACAAAGACGGAAGAATATCAAAGTTTTTTTAATTCCAAAGTAAAAAAAAAAAAAAAGTACTACTTCTTTCTCAAATTAATTTGGAATAATGTTTATATTTCCAGTTTGGACTCTCAGAAAGCTGTAAAATGAGCACAAAAACTGACTAATTTTTGGGGTGCAAAATATTCAGGTCCCTTTTAATGAAAATGTTTGAAATTTGTACTGCGATCCATTGTTACTCAGATAACCCTAGTTTTCGGACTTGGCCGCTCTGTATGTGCATATAAAGTATACCGAATCGCCCTGGGGTTTACAAACATTACATCCAGCAGTGAGACAAAGAGCTAACAAAGATGGCTGCCATGAGGGCTCACAACATTGGTTTCTATAAGCCAAGCCACTGGCACACACAGTGCCAGGTCATTTCCTTATGCTGGTGTGGCCCCAGGCGGTTAGATGTCCATTTCAAACTGGGCGTCGTCACCTTAAAGACAAAGGAAAACCAGAGCAATTTGTTAAAAAAACCAAAAAAAAAAACACTTTTAATAAACTAATAAAACAAAAACAGCAAACAGTGATCATTTAGAGATTTTCAACTGAAATGTTTCTACTTCTTGACATCAGCAAATACTTTAGCTGGTACAAGACTCGGTTTTAAAGACGATTGTTTTGGTTTTTCCACAGCTAAACAGCCAACGTGTGACGCCTGCTGGACGTCACATGAAGCATTTCTGGAACGCTTCGTTCATCAACTCAGCCTTTTGTTGATGTACATGGATCCTTTGACTCTCTGTGACGCTAAGAAATAAAATCCCTCTTCATCTTCTGCTTCCTAGCAGAGGCCCTGGTTTTCTGGGTCAAACTGACCGGTTTGAGAACTGGTAATTTTTGTGGCCCAAAAGGTAAAATGTGTTCTTTCTGGCAATAGCATGTCCTCCCACGAGGTTTTGGGAGAATAACTCTAAAATATATTTACAGGATCTACAGAAGCCTCTCGTTCCTGTTAATATAGAAGGAGGATGTTTTAACTCTCAAAAAAAAAAAAAAAGAAAAAATACATGGCACGAGCAAACTTTTTCCAGAGAGAACAAAGATAGAAACCAAGACATCTGGAACAACGTTCTTTGGACAGATGAGTTGAAATTTTATCTGTCTGGCCAAGAACAAAATGCAACTTTTACGGATACAAAACCTCTTAACAACTAACTTTAATAGATTGTATAGTTATAACTTAGAAATCTCTTCATAAATTATCCAAGAAGTATTTTTGGTTTTATAAAGTCACCTATTTTAACTCTCTGTGTGACAATTACATATACAATTTAAAGGTTCGTCCATAGCTTTGACAGAACAATGCCTTACTGTTGTACATGACAAAAACAGCTATGCTGCTCAGCTGGTTTCTATATCGACGTAATCTGTTACATGAGGTTTGGCCTGAATAGTTGCAACTGTCTTTTGGATCCTTATTAATGATCTCCACCTCATACCGGGCGTTACCAATTGTTTTCTGAAGTATTTTCAATTCTTGCCAGTTCTTTTTCCTGCAGTCATGTGTCCAAAGGCGCAAACGTCACTTAAAAAGCTGCAGGTTTCTGACCTTGGTCTGTCCACGTAAACACTGCTCTAATGCAAGTTGTGGTTTTGTGGCACTCTGGCTCTCCTTTTCTACCTAGTTTCCATCACTTTCATGAATAAATAGCACGCACTGAAAGCAAGCACAATCTTTTTCTGTAACTCTGACCTGTAGTGGGTTTGCCATCACGGTTGTTGATGTGGTTGTTGGCTTCGTTCTTCTGGTTCTCACTCAGGACATGTTGGCTGGTCACTCCAGGGATGACAGGCAGATGTGCAGGAGGAGTCTGAGCGATGGGAGAATTGCGCCTGTCCAGCAGAAACTTGCGGTCGTAAATGATCCGGGTTCCTTCAATGAGACAAAAGGAGATTATTTTACTAATCTTACAAAGTATATTTACATTTTAGCTAGTCCTCAATATGCTTGGAGATTATTCGTGTGGTACTTTGAAACAACAACGCATAAAGTAATTTGCTTCCTTGTATAAAATAATATGTGCTACCTGCATAATTGTTGTGAGTATACAAGTCACAACTTGCCCTCCACTAACCACTTCCTAAATGAAGTGGCAAGAAATGGTGGCCTTTCTACACCATTCTCTTTCACAAGAGAAGATTTTTCAGATGCACCCTTGAAAATGAAGAGGTAAGAGCTGAAATTAGAAATATACCAATGTAAATATTTTAATAGTTTTCTCATTTTGATGGCGGTAACCTCTGTATCATGTGGTAAGAAGTGTTCCAATACATTGTGTTTGGTATAAGTGTTTAATTGTATAAGCATCAACAAGAAACAAGTTATTTTTAAATATTAATAGACACACACTCCAGACATTGTGAAGTACAGCCATTTCACTATAGCTGTGTTTAGTTTTTAAAAAAGTAAAAAGGGGGAAAAAAACACTACATTGTTTAGTTTGATGTAGGCTGTAGAGATAATAGTACACAATAACTCTACTTAGCTTTTTTAAAATGTACATATATAAAGATTCCCCCCTCCCCCTGTCTTTGCACAGAAGTAGGTGAAGTCATACCAGAAACCAGTTATGCAGCAATACAATATGTGACAATATCTTCACTAAATTCAGAGCCCACATTTTGCAATCAGCCTTGTAATAAGTCATCCATCTGGCTCTGCTCCATCAATGTGATCCACCTATATTCCAGTAATTTAACAGAATCACTTGTTAGATTCTATAGTTAGACTAGGGGGTGGTCATTTATCGTACTGTTTATCATTTATCGTGATAAACTTCCTGTCATGATAAGAATCGATTTATCATTGTTATGAGAAATTCCGAGTTTTTTTTTTTTTAAACCCAAAGCTGTCTGTATTGTCGAAATTGTTAGTTTTAATATTTTCTTCACTTTGATCAATGAAATCATCAATAAATATCAACAATTATAAAATATGATTACTGTGTGTAGCTTAGTGATGCAAATCACACGTCTTTATATGACTGATGTCCTAAAGTAGCGCATTGAATGTTTTTCCAAGAGCAGTATTTGTGTTTGTGAGGCTATATGACACCCAGTCACAGTCATAGAGTCACATAAAAAAAAAACAATAATTATCGTTTTTATCGTCACACTTATCGTTATCACAATAGTACAACAAAAATATCGTGATGAAACGTTCAGTCTATATTGCCAACACAACTAGTTTAGACCTGTGCAAGTCCAATGTCAGGTAACGCAACCATGAGAATCTCTGTGATGTTAAAAAGCCAATCAGGAAGCAGCTAGGGGCCCGATGGGTGGGTCTAATCTTTGTTTTTGTTTTGGTCAGGATGACAACTCAGGCTAGGCCACGCAGATAGAAAATATTACCAGTTAAGTAAGACAAAAACAGACACATTTGATTAAACTACAGAGCAAAGCAGGTCTTCTCACCTCCAGGAGTGGTGGAAAATAAAGTGCCTCCAGGGGTGGTACAGTAGTCATGAGGTAGCTGCGTTGTGTCGTTGATCAACACCGTCCTGGTCGGGATGGCCCTGCTCTCGCTAAGCTGACGACTGGTCGACATTTTTCGGCGCCTGTTCGGTGACAAATCCAGCAGCTACAGAAAACTGTGGTGCTTATCTCCCGACGGACGGTGGAAACCCCGGCCGTTCCCCACTTTTTTACAGCTTCCCGAAAGCTTTCTCGGCTCTCCGTTCGTCCTACCAGCCGTCAGCACCGTCCCCTCCCTCAGCAAGGCAGGAAGCACGACGAGCTGAGGGGGGATATGACGTTGTGAGCGCTACGTCACCATCTGTTTATGAAAATCTGAAATGATTGTCTGGTTATGGTTAAAGAAACATTTGTGTTCATGGCATTTGTCAACAACAAAAATATCACACTGATGTACCTTACCAAATAAAACATTAAATAGAAGTTTTTTTGTTTGTTTATTTCAGTACTTCAGTTCAAAAAGTAAAATAGCATTTTTCAGATTTGTAAATTACAAAAGGGTTTTTTTAAAATTAAATTTTAATGCAACTTATGGGTTACATAAAGAGATGGGCAGTGACTAAGTACATTTGCTTAATTGTATTTACTCAATCATCTTTTTGGAGAAAAGACTGGTCTTGCTACAGTACTTTTTTACTTTTACTTGAGTAATATCATAATGAAGTATTATTCCTCCCATTTGAATGCAAGTACTCCCTCTGCAAGTAGCTTCACTGAATTAAGAACAAACACGTTTCTCTTAAATTGCACGAGACACAAACAAATCTATAGTTTATCTTAAAGTAAAACTTCTTGTGTGGTCACAAGCCTTTTTTTATTCTTATATTTCTTTCTATCTGCTGAGGCTTACAATTTAACTTATTTACTCTTATTTGAATACAAGTTTTGGGTAGTATGTTCACTTCTGCTGATATATATATTGATAAATTGTAGCTTAAAGACAGAATGATATCAGAATTCCCCCAGGACATTGCAAGAAGGAAAGGATATCCAAAATGTTTGACCTAAGTCATACAACTTGAAGGCAAATGCACCAAAAATCAAAGTAACACATCTAATTTTGTAATCTGTGCAGTTGAATTTATTACGGTTTCTAGCTTGGCAGATACTGGAAACGACAAGTTGTACATGTATCACAGTTTAAGAACCCTAATGAATATCAGTCTCTAGATCTAGGGTTCGTCCTACCAGCCATATTCCCAGGTTTCCTTGTTTCCCAGGAAACATATTCAAAAGGTTTCCTGGGAATATGTGTCATCTATAGCAGAATTTTTTTCTTCTGTAGATGACACATATTCCCAGGAAACCTTTTGAATGCGACTGGCCTATGACCAAAAATATGAGTCAGTTTTCTATGAAATCTGAAGATGTTCATTACACTAACATGACGCATGTGCCAAGTTAAATCTTACAAGACCCTGCTTCTATTTTTAGAAATATTTTTTCTGAAAATAGAAAAAATAAAGAAACATCATAATCAAACATACAATTGGGGTAGAGAAACAAAATCAGAAAATATTTTAATAGGCCACAATTTTTGAAAATGGTAGTTATTGAAAAAAAGAAGCTATATTTATTAGTTTTTCTTTTATAAAATTTTACTCCATAATCTATTATGCTGAATTTTATAATTTACTAGCAGTATTTCTGTTTAGTTAAAATTTCATAGGAATTGAGCCATTCTGACTTTAATCTCATCCCATCTGTACAGTCACGTCCCATTATGTATAGCATATAAGCTTATTCCTCTCACAAATATTTTAGAATTTACAGCAAATATGGGTTTGTAATATACAAGAAACACTACTTCACAGACCCAACCTATGCACAGATATGTTACACTTCTATATATAAACGCATCTATTAAATACATATAAGGTTCTCCAAAATGATCTTCAAACAAATGTGCATATTTATTTATACTTCTTCTTACTAATATTATCGTTAGTATAAATATTATTAGAATTTTTTTTGCTGCATTGCGTTTATGTTGTCAAAATTATTTCAACATGTTCGAAGCAAAACTTTCGTAATCCTCGTCATCAAGCATTTCCAACAGCTCCTGAAGGCACCATCAACGAAAACTCCTGACGCATGCGCAATGGCCTCAGTTGCTACAAACCGGGGGCGACCGTGTTCTTCCGGCGCCGTCCTCCATCCCTAAGCAGTGAGCTCCAGAAACCCGCACTTCAACATGAGCTTCACAGTCGAAGAGAGGGGAAACGCGAACTCCCCCAACTACCGCTTGTTCTTCAGTAAGTAAACAATGAGTAAAAATAGCAGAGTTTTATCTTTGTTTGCCACTTTGAGGACTCTCTGTTGACACCACAGGCCAGCCGCAATATCCCACGTGTCAGTAATTGATTTATTCTTGTAGGATTTAGCCTAGGAGAAACTACGGAAATATAGGGATTCTATTTTTTTTATTTGCTGCAGGGCGACTTTTGAGTCATTCAGCTTTCACTTTTCAGATCTATTTGTTTTTGTTGTTGTTTTTTTATTTTTATTTACAAAGTCAATACAATTCAGCGATCATGCTTTCCGTTTTATACATATTTCTCAGACATTGTAATGCAAAAAATAAAAATAAAAAATACCGCAAATTGAATTTTGTTGTTTCGGGAAACCTCCCAATGCGTTTTAACACGTCACATAGAAACCTAAAGGGGCGGAGCAACGTTCTCTCTGTATATAAAAAGGGCATTGATAAATGCTGCATTGAGACAAGCAGCTCTTTATATTTTCTGGTAGACGAACGGTTAAATGCCAATTTTGTGCCCAAACTTAAAGAACTTATGGTATAAGATATGTTAAAAAAAAAAGAAGAAAAAAAAAAGAAGAAGAAGTCATAAAGATAATAAATGTTGACTCCAGTTATTCCAATGATAAAATGGAGCCTAATATTAGCAAAGTGTAACACATTGACAGTAAGCAGTTGGTACTTTTTATGTAATCCACACAACACTGAGGTGTTCACTTCAACACCTCAGTGTTGAAGTGAAAGTAAAAGTTTGGGACCTTATGTGTAATTTCCTTATTGTGTGGAATACAATACTGATATAAAATGTTTCAGATTCGTTTGTTTACTTACCTGCTGTGTTAATTAGCGCTCAAACTTGACTACTTCACAGAAAATGCGGAAGGAAAGTACATCTCCCCGTTCCATGACATACCAATATATGCTGACGAAAGCCAGGTAAGGAAGCAGTTTCAGCCTTTGGACAAATAAATGTGTATATTTACACTTTTATGCACAATTTAAGGCCAGACAGCAGTTCGGTTATAGCAATATTGCTGCAGTAAATGCATTTCTGTGGCTCATCTGTCCCAGCACACAACTGCTTTGGATAATACTCTGCACAATATCAAGGTCATAGTCTGTTTAGAAAGCTGCACCCTTTACTCTTTGCTTTCTCTGGGCTATATCAATATCTCTCATGGCTGCTGAACAATTGTAATATATTACAAAACAGTTAATTCAGCTTATATTTTTAATGCATATGGTGTAATTGACGAAAGTGAATGTTTTCTTTCCTCTCTTAGAACATCTTCCACATGGTTGTTGAAGTACCCAGATGGACAAATGCGAAGATGGAGGTAAGAGACTGTCTTTTTTCTTATGTATTAGTTTATCGAACTGTAACAGGTGCAGATTCTTCTGTATCACAGAAACGGAGACCAAACACCAAAGTTTACATAAAGAAAACGTTTATTGTTATAAAAAACTAAAGTTATTGTCGCGGGGTTAAAGTGCACAAGAAACACCTTCTGTAAGAATTTAGTGAGCTCTTATCAACATCTTATCAGGTTTTTATTAAGACGCTAAAGTTCTTGCGCCACTCTAAACGCAAATTTGCGGAAAGTAAATGCACTTATTTACGTGCTGCACAGATATGAGCAATTGATATCTATCAATTTTCTTCTGCTTTGTTCTCATACAAAGATTTTCTGATGTTTGAAAGCAATTTATTTATACAGCACCAAGTGGCAAGGAACGTTATCTCTAGGCTCCTAACTAGGCAACCTGGTCCACCTCCTAAATCGCTGTCCTGCCTGATTCATGCCCAATTACATAAAGTCTGATTTTGTTATCTACTAATGATGATGAGATATCTATCCTCGCAGCAATCCCTTTTATTAAAGAGTCATGTGGAGATGGTAGAGAAGACGCGTCTCGTTTTACAAAAAGAAACTTTCACTAGAACAAGGCTCAGCGCTCTGACGTCTGTTGCAATGTGATAAGAATTGAGACTGCAGTAAGGCAACCTCACTGCGACTGAGAACAATCACTGCAACATTATTCTTGAACTTCAGCATCTCAGGCAGTCAGAGAACGTACATCCTCTGCGGACTTTAAAGGCATCGGGAATTCATCAAATGGTCAAATAAATTGACCAATCCACAAAATGTGAATGCACGACACTTTACAATATAATATACATCCAAATATTGAATCTAAGCAGTCCGTTGGTTTTCAAATTGCACACACTGACAGTGTGATGACAGTGGTGAATCAGTTTATTGTGTAGCTCTAGAGGACAGGAATAAGAGCTGGATCATGACTATTTTATGTGGTAAAGAAAACAAAATAAAGTCGGTGGCAGCAGTGGCTCCATACTCATCAGATTCATCTGATAGCTGAAGCTGAACCTGAAATTCTGGCTGTAATTATTACTAACTGCTGCAACATCTTGCCGAGCTACTTTTATTTTTAGCAGCATTAATGACATATTTTTTTTAACAGACAATTACATCTCTAATTTTTTAAACTGTCTGATTTTCTGTTTCCCAGATTGCTACAAAAGACATCCTGAATCCAATAAAGCAGGACGTGAAGAAGGGGAAGTTGCGCTACGTGGCTAATGTTTTTCCTCACAAAGGCTACATATGGAACTACGGAGCAATCCCTCAGGTCGGTGTGCTCCGCCAATATTTTGTTGTGTGCATTAGATATTATCACTGTGTAACAGTAAATATTAAGTGGTAATAAGTTCCGCTACGGTGTTTCAGACATGGGAGGATCCTGCCCATAAGGATGGAGACACTGACTGCTGCGGCGACAACGATCCCATCGATGTCTGTGAAATTGGAAGCAGGGTACATGTTTCACTTTAATGTCTGTTTTTTTTTTTTATTATTGTTGTTTGTATATATATTCCTGGGACATTTTATAAATGATGGACAACCTGAAAACTTCCTCATGAAGGTGTGCACCCGAGGAGAGGTCATCAAGGTGAAGGTGCTCGGTATCTTGGCCATGATTGATGAGGGA